CTGCTCTATGCGTGGGCACCAAGTCGGGCAAAAGGAAAAGCGGGAAAAGCGAGCTGGCGCTCTGATTTTGTGCACCCGCCCGCTTGTTGCGATTTCTGTTGTGCTGTGTTCAGGGGTCGGCTGCTTTAGGGGCGTTCCATTCGGTTGATGGGCCAACAAGTTGCCCTGCTTTTCGTTTATTTTTGCTTATATCATTGCCTACTTACCGTTTATATCACGATCGTGCAAATAATTACTGGCGCTGCTCTTAATGCTGATGCAATCCAATGGCGTCGGCTCGAAAATGTTGTACGAGTCGCAGGAAATGGCCTCCGCTGTTGGCATAAATATAAAGAAGAATTTGCTAACAAAATACTCTACACTCGAATTTGCTCTCCTTGAGCAAGGTACTTAGAAATCTACATAGAGTGCTCCCCAATCTTACCTAAAGTTAATACTTACTGATAAGAGATGTTTACTTTAACTTACTTATTTCACCTATTTAACTTAGTGGACTCATTATAATGAATACCAATTTATTTATTCATTAATATTTTATTTTAACCTTTTAACATTTCTTTTACAAAAGTAAAAAAAAAAAAAAAAAACAAAAAACAAAAATCAATTGAAAATAGTCCATTTTCGTATTTTAAAAACTTATCAAGATCAAATTTTTAGTCAGTTTTCTTAATATTTATGAGTCCTTAAAATTTGTATAAATTAAAAAAATAAATAAATAAATCAAACAAATACAAAAATTTGCATTATTTATTTTTATAATTTAGGATACAAATTTAAACTTTCTGATATACTTAAAATTGTTGTTTTTTTTTTTTTTTTTTTTTTTTTTTTTAAAGATTTTGTTCTATTATTTTTATTTTCAACAAACATCAGGAAAAAAAATCACCCCAAAAAATTGTTCTTAATTTTCTCGTATAAAAGAAAAATGATTCTCATAGTTGATAACATTTTTACTCAATTTTCATACAACTATTTATTTTATTCAGAAACGAATTTTCATTTTAATGCACAATAATGCCAAAAGTTTCCAGTCTTCACACTGTTTTACATCATATTGAAATTCATTTTGTTTAACATATTTTAAAGGTATACACTCTTCTTGTATATTTTTGTATGTATATACGTATATAATAGAAAACGTTTACCAATTCAGTGCTAGATATTCCGACAAGCTATACTCCATAACCCATATCAAAAAATCATCAAAGAATTATTTAAAAAAATTTTTTCCTCTGCTTTATTGATACCTACGCACATTAAAACATAAAATTTTTATAGTAAATATGTCATAGAGCCCTGTGGTCGTCGTTCCTTGAACTGATTGCTATATTGACGAAGCTGCTTATTGACATTCGCCACAATGTTGAGCTGATTATTGTTCAGATGGGCAAAGATTTTGTCGTACAGCTCCACGGGCAAGCCGAGCAACGAGGGATGCATGTGGGGCTTAATGGATAGCAATTGTTGGGCACGCATCGGTTGGAAGAGCTTCTGGCGCAGCTGTAATGAGAGCTCGTCCAGCTTGCGAAATCGCTGGTGGATCGGCTCTAGCTGTACATTGAGCACATATCGTCCGATGGACAAGCAAACGCTGAAGCCGGGCTCTGTCGAGGGCGCCACAGGACTTAGGGTGACCATCATTAGATCGCCCAGCACAACTGCAAAGAGATGCGATTGCAGTGTATATATCGCAGTTGGCTCCTCCATTGAGCTGTTGTCCAGCATGATGCGGAGCAACATACGAAAGTTCGTATCATCTTTTGTGTAGTTCACCCGCTGACGGCTAAGCAAACGGACATTGTAAACGTGAAAACAACCGACAGACGGCACCGGCTTCAGCAGTGCCCGCTTCTCCACATAGCATTCATTCTCCACAAATCCCGACTCCAATGCAACCACATAGATCAGCAGCATCAACAGTTCAGCAGATGATAGCTTGGTATTCTTATATTGTTGCAACAATTGCTGCAGATGCAGCGGCACCGATGTGGGCGTGGCATACTCTAAACACAACGGCAGCTCCTCCTCCTTTTCGATCACCTGCTGCTCCCCTTGTCGTTTACCATCATCGTTAGCCGCTGTAATGAGGCAAGGTTTTTTTTTTTTTTGGCAATGAGTACACTAAAGTGCTTTTAGTAGTTGTTGTTGCTCTTGCATTGGCTGCTGTGAATAAGTCACGAAAGCGTTTAGGGTTTGTGCTGTGTTTTAGAGATTGTGTCTTGATGTCTATAAGGTCGCAGAGATTAGTCAACAAAAAGAGGATGCAACGAAACACGTTGAGCAAAAAGGATCGAGTCTATGTGCGTATGTGACGTGCGTAATTAAAAAAAATGTTTGTTTCTACGTGAATTATTTATGCACTACCAAACTTAAGGAAAAACCACATAAGCTTATTATTAACAGAAGTGCGTGCCGTGACACGAAATAATCGAATGTGACGAATGTAAAAATTACACTATTTTAGTTACACAGTGAATGAAATATATATACATACATACATACAAAAATAACAATCTAACGTATCTAATGTAAACATAAACAAAACGAATTTCAATTTATGGATTTGAATCACGATGCAATCAAATTGAAACTATTTGCTTATACAAAAATATACATTGCAAAATAGGACGAAAGTAAATTCTAAATAAACTTTTTTGCTGTTTGTTGTTGAAAAATAAATTTGAAAATATTAAACAAGAAAGCTATAGTCGGATGTGTCCGACTAGGATATACTCTGAACCCTGTTCGATTAAAGTTGTAGAATATACTCCATAGTTAGAATCCATCATAAGGCCTGCATAGATCGGACAAACAGACAGGACTAAATCGACTTAGTTTGACGCTCTGATTACTTTATTTAGTCGGTCACGCCGCATTCTGTCATTTACATATATATACATATGTATATTATTACCAGTTACAATGGGTTCAGGGTATAATAAATGAACAGAAACATTCTAATAATACTATGATAAGTAAAAATAAAGTACTACATATTAATTAAATAACTACAACAAATAGATCGAACATCTAGAACAATCGTTTTCAAAACAAAAATTTTGTGCGTCAAGCTCCTCTATTAGTAAAGCCTATATTTGTTTTCCAGGTAATATCACCCAAAGTTTCGAATATTTAAATAATCATGCAGGAGTACTCCAAATTAAATACAATTTTAAGATTTCGTGATTATGTAAGTAAAATAGTATAAAATGTTAATTTGCATTAAAAATATTATTATTATTATAACAAAACGTATGTATGAATTTAGTAAAATTGAAAAGTTGTAGATGTTCGATCTTGTGCTTTACGTTAATTGCTGCTAATTGATAGTTTTTCGATATTTTCTGATCGTGTCAGCACGAGACCATCTCTAATCTATAAAAGCGCAAAATCATATAAACATACATATGTATGTATGAGTAAACATTTTATAATACTATTTAATATTAATGAATCGTAATGCCCATATCAGCTGGTCGCCTTTATAGCGCCTTACTTACCTGTCTCTCTATCCAATCGATCAGCAGCAGATGCGTCAGCCTCGGCGGTGCTAACTGTGGGTCGACTAGATGACGCTGACGTTGCTGCTGGCACTTCTGCAGTGTCTGGGCTTTTCGCTTTTGGGTCTGTCATTGTTCGTTATGTACGTACTAATTTGGTTGACATTACGTTACTTTCAGAAAATGTATTTTTATATAAATGAGAAATCATTTGATTAACACCCGAACGCTGTCTAAGTTTCGAAAACAATAAAAACAAATAACAAAAACTTCACAATTACACCATGACAATCACAAATCACCAGAAACTACGCAACGATATAAATTATTAACTAAACTCAATCACGCACGATTACACTTTCGTTTTCGACCGTTAAATGGCATTATTTTAATTAATTTTAAGAACATTAATTATAATGTTTGTAAAAGCCACCTGTTATCTACTTGTACTATCGGTTCTATCGATAGAGCATTAATAGTTATTTGCCGGTGGTTAGTTCGATATGTGCAATAGTATTTTTATATTTAAAGCTTTTGCGATCAGAATATATCGATTGTATATGATAATATGTGATAATGTTAATTGTATATCGATTGTGTGCGTAATGTCCGTATTTTAAGTGAATATCGTTTATGTCTGTAAAGTACAAGAGTTACTTTATATTTTTATTCATTATAGTTTTATTTATTATTTGTATTTTCATGCAGATATCCACACTGCTAAAAATATCGCAGGTATTCACGCACGTGCTTTGTCCCATCTCAGTTCAGCATATTCGCTTTCATTATTATTCTCGCAGTTTGCACTAGTGCTGCAAAAGAATCGATATTCCGTAATATCGATATTCACGATATTTTCAGAGAAAAAGATCGATAAAAACGATATATCGAACACTTCTTTTAAATGTTAATTTTCTTGCTTAGAAGCTATTATAATATTTATATTAATTATGACTTCTTAATGGATAAAATGGCAACCATTTCAAGATTAAAATAAAAGCAACAGCATCAAACAAAAACAAATTTATTCAACCAAACCAAATTATTTTTCATTAACTTAAACCTAAAACAGCAATTCATTAAAGCTCAAATTCACTATGCTNTGGGGCTCCCACGGTCTTATTTTCTTCATCGGAGTCCACCCTCGCCGCGCTTAAAACACACAAGCTATGACTCCAAGCTTTTCCAATAGGATATATCAATTGTACTTACGTTTTCTTCCCAAAAACTGATCCATTTTTTTCTTTCTATTGCAATTAAATTAAATCAATCAATTTGTATACAATTTAGCAAAATTAAATAAATACGCTTCTTACACAGTTAAAACCAACGCCAAGAATAACCATTTTTTTTCTTCGATATATCGATACTAAGAAACCCATATCGATCTTTTGCCAAAATTCGAAAATATCGATTATAACGATTCCGATCCGATATTTTTGCAGCACTAGTTTGCACATCTCTAATTACCGGCGTCTGTAAATTTAGTTTTGTATAACAATGACATCTGTTGATGAAAACGAAATGTATATGGTTAGTCAAGCGCAAAGTTTGCGCAAAACTGACCCCAGTTCAGCCAAAGCATGGATATTGACTGCGAAAACCCTTTATCCAAATGCATTCAATGTACAGTACGAAGCGTATCTACTGGAGCGCGATGCCAAGAACAGCGAGATGGCAGCCCAATATTTTAGTATAATGTAAAATGGTAAACAAAACAGAAATTGAATATATATTAATAGTCCTTACATTTACAGCGCCACAAACTTTACCAATCAACATGCGGAGCTGTGGCAAGAGGTAAACGCCTTGACCAGTGCGCTGCGCAACGAAACGGAAAATACGCCCGAGCAAGAGTTCTATGTGAAGATGTACAAGCATCTGACACCAGAGGTGCAGCACAGCATATTCGTGCACACGATAAGCAATTGCGGCGACAACTTACAGCAGTGCATACATAGCTATATACTCATGTTCAATAAGTTTCCGAAAACGGCAGTAACGCAGGCTCCTCGACTGCTGGAGATGCTCGCCGAGGGCATGAAAGCTGATCCCGATGTTTATCAACGCATGCTTGTGGAGGAGGTTCTGCCACTGATTCAAAACAAGCCGCCAGAGCTGAATCCAGTGCTCGCTTGTCGTCTCTACACAAACTCATTGGAGTATTATCTGCGCCAGATCATGGACGATGAGAAGTGCGACACAACGGAGGCGTGGAAAAACATATTCAAGGTGCTCATGCTGTGCGGCCAGATGATGGGCTGGGAGCCGTTTCTGCCGTTCAGCAAGCAGGTAAATCAGAATGTCTACTGGGATAAGCTGGTAAAGATATTGCGCGGCAGTCCGGCTGGCAGCTCCCAGGTGCTATTTTATGCCACAACATTGTTCATTTACTCACTGCACGGCTACATACGGAAGCTGCGCATAGAGGATGCGGAAGTGAGTCACGTCCTGGTCGAGGGCTTCATTGACTGGACGCCCGAGGGTGGCGAGGTGCAGAGCATGGACTGGACACCAGAAGGTGCTGAAGTGCAGAGCATGGAACCGCCTAAATTTTCGGCCACCACCGCCATCAGTCAAGAGCTGTCGGAGGCCTTCCTGCACGCCGCTCGCTGCTGGCAGCTACTAAACACTGAGCAATTCCAGCGGGATTTCAGCCAGCTGATGTTGGCACTTCCCTTGGCCCCTTGGATATCACGCTTTCTCTTCGATCTGGCCATTTACTTTGGCCATCGCGATGAAGCCAATAAACTGATGGCCGACATGACGACGCAGAGCACGCTGGTGCAGAGCCTGCAAATACTTAGCCTCAATCTGATGCAGGGCAGCATGACGGTAGGGGAGAAGATATTGTAGCAATACAGAAATATTCAGAGATTACATGCTTTTATCTAATTGCAGCTTCAGGGCTTTCAGTGCATTCTAAAGATACTCGCTGAATTGCCTGCAACGAGTGGCCAACTCTTGGAGAACATCAGCCTGAAGAGCCATCGTCACATGATATTCTTGCCGCTGACCAAAATCGCACTCATTCAGTATTGCACGCGCGCCATAACCAGTCGCTTGAGTCGGATGCTGTTCGAGCCCAACTGCTCGGATCGACTGCTGGGCGATCTGCTGGCATTGCTGCAACTGAATCCTGATAAGGATATTCTACTTAAGCAACATATATTCAATTTGATCACGCAACGCAAATCATTCAATTTGCACATCTTGTCGAACTATATCATTGCCACGGACATAATCGAGGAGTTGGCATACATTTGGAATACACAGCAGCAGGATGATGTCAACTTTGAGTTGACTGGCTCGCCCACGGGCAGCAGCAGCGCCTCTGGCGGAACGAATACACCTGCTGCTGCTGCGGCGGCTCARCCACGTCGCATTGGCACTCGGGGCGCCGACAAGGGCGCTCGAGATGAATTCAAATCGCTGATTCGTCAACAAATTGCGCGCTGCAACGAGCATGTGCCGACGCTGGTGGCCAATTTCATAACACAGGAGCATCTGACGCTGGTGCAGCACATCTTTGGCATGGCTCCACCTGTGGAGACTATTGTCATCAAATGAGCACAGTCGGACTATATAATAATCAATTAAGAAACTATTTGTAAACAGTTATGCTAGATATGTATATGTGGGTGAAATATGGCTTGTGATTCAGATATGAAAATGTTATTCAGATTGACTCCATAACTCCACATAAAAGCTAAAAAACTATTGTAAGTTGTAGAGAATGAAGTTAAGTTAATATTTAAATTAAAGCTATATTGTATATATCCGATACGAAATTGTTATTCATATGAAATATTTGCAAATCGAGCTGAGAATTTAAAACAGATTGCATATTGTACATATAAAGCCTATATTTATAGCAATAATATAGAGGGTTAAAATTCATATAGGTAGATAATAAGGTATTTTGCCAAGAAACTATTTTAAGCTTAATGTAATCAGCTCTGGTAGAAACTTGTATGTATGTCTCCATATTTACATTTTATGTATCCATTGTAAATTTAAAAAAAAAGCGAGAAATTTGATTTTGCACGAAAATTATATTTGATATTTTAATTTGTATCATTTTTTACAACAACAAAAACTTAAGTTAGACTGAGAATTTGTATAGATTATATCAAGTCTATCAAAAATTTGTTTAACTAATCTTTGAAAACAAAAACAAAAAAGAGAACAAAAATGTTGCAATCAAATTATTATTTATATTGTTTAAAATTGAATTTGAAATTTAAAAAAATAAATAAATAATAATC